GTGTGTGTGTGTGTGTGTGTGTGTGTGTGTGTGTGTGTGTGTGTGTGTGTGTGTGTGTGTGCGCGCGTGTGTGTATGCGTGCATGCGCACAATCGTATTGGTGTTTTTCATTTAAGAGAGTACGTGGGTAAGGCTTTGACGTTTTTTGTCTTGCCGCCATCTTCTCTATAACGTTTAATTAGATTAATTAAATTCATTCAGATTAATTACAACGCGCCCTCATCATTGACACCCCTAGCAGTGCTTTTCATTTCAATGCTTCCCGCTACGGCCCACCCAACCTAAAAATTCAATGAGAATTTATATACTGAGACGTTTTTCTATCGATCGTCTTTCGCGTTTTCTTTAAATTATAATTCCGGTGACGTTAACTCGACATGGCGCCCTGCTAGGATCTATCAAGAGCGTATAAAGAAGGATCTATCCATCAACATTCACATAACCGACCGCATCTTTGAAACTCAAATTTATTAGCACCATTACTCAAGTCTATCGGACGAGCCACGTTCGAATCGCGTCTCAGTGTATGCATATTTAATCGCGCTTCAATCAAACCAACCCAGTTTTTGCCGCCACGTCATTAACAGGCGAGCGATACTCGTGCATTGAGTGCGAAGTCGCCTTTCTAACGTGACGCCTGCCTTCGCAATATTGCTGACACGTCAATGGCGAAGTCGCTTCGATTCTAATTGAGGCGCCGGATTAGGTGGAATTGGAAAATTAATTGGTTTCAGTACGCTGTGTAATCCATTGACGTATTGCTAGTTTTCGAAGAGGGTTTCGACTTGAGATGTCATCGAGTAGGGGTTTAGGTGCTGCGGTTTCCAGCGGACTCCGGCGCTCATGAGCAGAACAGGGAGATAGCGAGCTATAAATCACTTTATACTACTATCTTCGCGGTGTGTTCGAGTGTCTGATTCCGTTAGAGCATGCTTGCAACGCGCGAATGTGCGCTCACGCACCTACGCAGATTGAGAGATACAGAGAGAGTGAGCGAGAGAGAGACAGAGAGAGAGAGAGAGAGAGCGAGAGAGAGAGAGACAGAGATAAAGAAAGACAGCGAAAGGGAGAGAGGGAGAGAGAGAGAGAGAGAAAGAGAGAGAGAGAGAGAGAGTGAGAGAGAGAGAGGAAGAGAGGAAGAGCGAAGGTTACAGAGAGGCGTTGAGTATATTTATAGAGCGATAAGGGGGAGAGAAATAAAGATTAAGATAATAATAATTCCTCATTTTGTGGTTTTCTGTAGAATATCGCTCGTCGTCATCAACTGTGTTGCGTTGACATCCGTAACAGTGGGTAGGACTTGCGCGGTTAGGATGTTGTCCCCACTCCCAAACCTCCTAATGCAGCGATACAAGTCTAGGTTGTACAACTAAAGCCGGGCTTAGGTCGGGTTGCGATTGAATGCGACGCGACGCGACGCACTGCAACTCACTGCGACTGAGTGTTTTAGGTCGACGGCGACGCGACTGACAGCGACTGCCTGCGACCAGTCGCAGGCAGTCGCAGAAGGCGCTTAGGTCGAAGCGACGATCGCCTATAGATCGTGCAACTAAATGAGTTTACATGACTTGTTGCTGTGTGCATGTTGTCTACATGACTGTATGCACTGATTGTTTTATTCGCGTGTATTGTTCATTATACTTGGTGAAGCAAACAAGGACAGATCCCTTTTGCACAAACGCACGACAGTAATGAGAAAAGTGTGAGTCCTAGGCATTCGGCTGTTTTCCCGATACTCCAGTAATTATTTAACAATTTTTCGTTATTTTCGCATCGTGTTTTACTCAACGAGTTATATGCGAGTTAAGGGTAAATCGATATGAATTGAAAATTCACTCCGAAACAATATGGTGGACTGCAAGTTCGAGTCAACATGCGTATGTATTTATTTATCGCGCTTATAATTCTCTCTTGTAATCGGGTTTTTCTTGCCGCTGTTAAATAAAATTGAATGAATATTTTAAAGCGCTCGACTAACTAAACCGCGAAGCTCCGACGCAGTGCCATGAATATTTTACCGCCATTGTATAATCCACTCTTTTCGGAGACGGCCATCTTTACCGGAATCTCCTGCTGCCCGCGCATCCCCACGTCGTCACAATGGGATGCAAATCTCTCAGAAAGCTTAACTCATATGCTCCAGCGGATCCGAAGCAAACTTTGATGATGTGGCATAGCGTTTCCCGAGTACCGTGTGTCGGTGGTAGTCATCGTCCGGTGACGCAATCCTGTATTCGCCAGCATTCACCGAGGTTGTCCCGACATGCAGTGCTTATATATCGCTGATTTACCGCCAACAGTGCAGCACGCCCACCCACCCTCCACCCCATCGCTGCACCCTGGGATGATACCAGCCCCCCCTTCCCTGGGATGAGACCAGCCCCCCCGCGCGAGGATTTGTGTAGATCCGGGGCGAGGATCGAGGGGGCGGTATTGCTTTGATCGCGCAATGACAGGGGATGATGAAAGACGACATTTGGGACACGTGACCGCGGGGAATTACGCGAGCCTGGGTGAATTGGGTTGTTGATGCGCAGTAGCTGTACGCGGTCGTGATGCTGAGATGGCTATACCTAGTCTTCCCCGGGCGACTCACCGTCTGCACTGATCTCTCTCTCTCTCTCTCTCTCTCTCTCTCTCTCTCTCTCT